AAAGTCGTACACGACTTGATATGATGACAAAGTGGCCCTAACTGAATATTTGTAGATATTATAGCGTATATAGCCTACTTAATCCATAAAGTCCCCGGCCGAATACACAAATATTGGACTTACAAGTATGTAGACACGAATGACACATCTGTTTCTATTCAACTGTGGTCAAAACGGGCATCGTAATATATATATATATATATATATGAGCTAAAGGGAGGTAACTCGTGTGATCTTACGAAATGTTAATGAACTACAAATTATATAGGCTATAGAAACCTATATCCTCTGAATTCGTTATTGTGTCTGATACACTTTAGATAGCATGGTATCACGGTAGAACGTATCATAGTTAAGTATTTAGCAGTACTTTCTTCTTTTTTTGTTCGATTCCTTTACATTGTATTTATCAACGAATAGACTTCTGTTTCAAAGCTTCCCGAACTAATATATTAGGTGTCCCGTTGTCTGTGATATCCACGTCAGGTGGAATATCATTTCCCCAACAACTTGAAACAAATTAGACAAACGAAGGAAAAAAGCAAAACCATATAGTCACAGTAAAACAAATGTCGTTGTCATTACAAATTTGAGACTTGAAAGTAGATATCGCCAAACTCATTTCTGTAGTGGTAAAAAGGTGTATTCAATTTAAATAAGTAACAGCTAAAACAGACCTCGATCGAGAATTTAACGAACATCGAATTTCAAGATTTCAACCACCAAAATTCTAGCTACACTGGAAAGGGACTGTAAATGTCCCAATACTTGATATCTAAAAACAATTAAGAATTAAACAAGCAAAATCCTATAACATATACATGTACAATGGAAAGCATTGTGGTTTTTATGAAGATGTGATTTATAGTAATCACAAGAGAAACAGATGATGATGTCAATGTCAATACAATAATTTTTATCAGTTTCAGTTTTACATTCTTGACGATATATAGTTTTTATACCTCAAATTTTATTTCAATATAACACGAAGAAAAGAGATTGAACAAACGGTAAAGCATAAACCAGTTCTCTAAATAGAATTGCAGTTAAAATATTTATTTACGGCAGAACAAATTTAATAATTGTGATAAGATTATTAAGATTTTATGTGGTTAGCTTGTACATAAACGAATGTACTTCATATGACATAATTATCAGTAGAACATACAAATTCTGCATCAACGGCATGTAACATTCCATCGATGGGATAACTTCATTCAGTAAGAGTTATCTCCCATCCAACAGCTACCTTGTACATCGTGTTACAGTGAGGCTATAGTCGGAAAGATGGCGACTTTCTGAAGCTTGTATGCATGTAATACTGTACAATTGGATTAAATAACCAATTCCAATTGGAATAACAGCGAGTAAAAAGAGTTACAATGCACCCACGTCGAAATCACTTTAATTTTAAAATATTCTCATCGAAAGTATATTATTTGGGACGAAATTTGTAATTCTCATTGACGTGGTATGGCGGTAACGATCACATTTATTTTGTGGTTTTAGACCAATGTTGCTGATAATCAACCTACACGTACACAGTTATCCAGCATATCTATTGTTTATATTGATAATAGTTTACATGTACATACATATACATTGTAGCCAGAATGAAACTTACATATACAGTCCTCTCCTGAAATCATGGTGTATAGTCCAAACGTCTATGTTACTGTTCATGTGTTTAAAGGAATGAATCGGGATAATTCAAACAAGTGAAAAAATAGCCTCAGCAAAGATTTTCCAACTCTTCTTATGTTTACTGTTTTGTTTTATCGTGTGTGAAGGAATAAAATAAATCCAACTGATAAAGATTATATGAAGGAACATCAATTGGAAATAGAATTACTTCACTTTAGCACAAGGAAGGGGAGATGACCCCGGTTAATTTACTATGTTTTACAATTCCGTGCCACATACACCGGTACTGACTTTTACAATCAATGACAAGTATTTGTTCAGCATGGCCGGTGGCTTATTACATTGAAACAAATTATAATCATTTTTCTTTACACCACTCTAATATAAGAAACTGCTAACCGTTCCCCACAGGTACGTTCCCCACTCTATCTCTTGCCTTTTTCTACAGTCTGAACCATCTGACGGGAAACACTAGTTCCTTGGGCTGGTTGTTTGTACAAGTAATTATCGGTGGTAGGAAGTTAATGAACGCGACGTGTCTTATTAACACAAACAATTGGGTATCAGATCGGGGGTAAACGAGTACCTTTCCCGGGGACCCGGGGCAGCTTGGATGTGACTGGAGTGAGGACATTCTCATACATTAGAAGGAAGTAGATGTCGAATTCTCAGTTATATATAAATACATATGTTTCACTTGAAGCTCATTATTCGTTTCCTCTTCCATACCATCAATAGGTCCACTAGTTTATAACGAGCTTTACCACAGATTCAGCCTCTACATATCATAGTAACTATCTGATATCTTTTCTTTATCACATACATGAATGTTATTATAGTATTGATGAAATCATTTGTACTTTAAATTCAAATCGTTATGGTGAAGACATAACATGCAGGTGTTATCTACTGTAAAATATGTATCAATATGTTTTATCTACTGTAATTAGTCGTGATACATTGTACACATACATGTTTCCTTTCTCAGAAAATGACATCGTCAATGACCTTCACCCCATGCCGAAACCTTGACTTTGATGACGATGAAATCAAGTGCTCGATGAAGTGAAGAAAAACTTTTGCCAGCTGTTTGATAGTGAGGATCCTGGGCTAGGGGTGGATGATGACGAGGTGAGTATTTGACATGAACGATTGACATTTGTAAATCATGTCAACTCTGTAGGTCTACAACATCGGTATATCTGATTTCTGTAAAAATCTATAACATCGGTATATCTGTTTTCTGTAAAAATCTATAACATCGGTATATCTGATTTCTGTAAAAATCTATAACATCGGTATATCTGTTTTCTGTAAAAATCTACAACATCGGTATATCTGTTTTCTGTAAAAATCTATAACATCGGTATATCTGTTTTCTGTAAAAATCTATAACATCGGTATATATATGTTTTCTGTGTGTAAAAATCTACATATATCTGTTTTTGTGTAAAAATCTATAACATCGGTATATCTGTTTTCTGTAAAAATCTATAACATATATCTGTTTTCTGTGTAAAAATCTATAACATCGGTATATATCTGTTTTCTGTAAAAATCTACAACATCGGTATATCTGTTTTGTGTAAAAATCTATAACATCGGTATATCTGTTTTCTGTAAAAATCTACAACATCGATATATCTGTTTTCTGTGTAAAAATCTACAACATCTGGTATATCTGATTTCTGTGTAAAAATCTATAATATCGGTATATCTAATTTCTGTAAAAATCTACAACATCGGTATATCTGTTTTCTGTGTAAAAATCTATAACATCGGTATATCTGTTTTCTGTAAAAATCTACAACATCGGTATATCTGTTTTGTGTAAAAATCTACAACATCGGTATATCTGTTTTCTGTAAAAATAACATTAGATATATCTGATTTCTGTGTAAAAATCTACAACATCGGTATATCTGATTTCTGTAAAAATCTATAACATCGATATATCTGTTTTCTGTGTAAAAATCTATAACATCGGTATATCTGTTTTCTGTAAAAATCTACAACATCGGTATATCTGTTTTCTGTAAAAATCTATAACATCGGTATATCTGTTTTCTGTAAAAATCTATAACATCGGTATATCTGATTTCTGTAAAAATCTATCGGTATATCTGTTTTCTGTAAAAATCTATAACATCGGTATATCTAATTTATGTAAAAATCTACAACATCGGTATATCTGTTTTCTGTAAAAATCTATAACATCGGTATATCTAATTTATGTAAAAATCTACAACATCGGTATATCTGTTTTCTGTAAAAATCTATAACATCGGTATATCTGATTTCTGTAAAAATCTATAACATCGGTATATCTGTTTTCTGTAAAAATCTACAACATCGGTATATCTGATTTCTGTAAAAATCTACAACATCGGTATATCTGTTTTCTGTAAAAATCTATAACATCGGTATATCTAATTTCTGTAAAAATCTACAACATCGGTATATCTGATTTCTGTAAAAATCTATAACATCGGTATATCTAATTTCTGTAAAAATCTACAACATCGGTATATCTGTTTTCTGTAAAAATCTATAACATCGGTATATCTGATTTCTGTAAAAATCTATAACATCGGTATATCTGATTTCTGTAAAAATCTATAACATCGGTATATCTGATTTCTGTAAAAATCTATAACATCGGTATATCTGATTTCTGTAAAAATCTACAACATCGGTATATCTAATTTCTGTAAAAATCTACAACATCGGTATATCTGATTTCTGTAAAAATCTACAACATCGGTATATCTAATTTCTGTAAAAATCTACAACATCGGTATATCTGTTTTCTGTAAAAATCTATAACATCGGTATATCTGATTTCTGTAAAAATCTACAACATCGGTATATCTGATTTCTGTAAAAATCTACAACATCGGTATATCTGATTTCTGTAAAAATCTACAACATCGGTATATCTGATTTCTGTAAAAATCTATAACATCGGTATATCTGTTTTCGGTAAAATACAACATTTTTTGCAATATACCTTTTTTCCCGATAACATTAGTCGATTATAGATTGTAATAAATGTAGTGTTAATGTACTATGACGTTATCAAAGTAAATCAATGATGATTTTCTTTAAATACTGTTCGTCTTCATCTGGTTTCGTTTATATTTCAGTGTGAGAGCAAGCTACAAAGTGTCTACCAGGTTTGATTTCAGCAACGTGTTGGATTCCCCAGGACAGGTATTCACACAGACTTTTACAACGATAATATCTTAGCGACTACAGGCCTACAATGTATAATGTATACAGCTCTGTATATTGCCAGCATCTATTTTATGGAGATTACTTTAGTTTGGAATTCAATATTTTACATTTTATTTCAGACAGATGGTGGGCACGATATTATTTACTTTAGACGATCTCTGTTCTCAGGAAGGACACTTCCGTTTAAGGTAAGTATGGACTTCATGTTACTACAATGTAACGACACTGATGACAGGACGAGTAGTTTACACAACCTAACATTACTTATAAATGAAAATTCTGAAAATCCGAGAAAGGACATACAGTTTGTAGTATAGAATTTACCAGTGAAAGAAAAACAAGACAAGTAATCACATGTACTTTATATGTTCTACAGGACAGCCCAATACCCACGTGACGTGATGTCAAGATCGCTGTTAACCGTTTGGCGGAGGAGGATTTGATAGGAGACGGAACTGACACCTGTTGTCTGCCAACCGTCAAGGGCAAAAACCACGACCTCAAATCTATCTCAGCTTACACGTGATCATATTCAGTTTTAATCGAAATTACGTAATCTTCAGATTCTTAAGAAAAGTGATTATAAGATGAGAGCAGTATATTAAGTGTTATTTACGCCTCTGATAAGATTGATAAAAATTGAAGAAATATGATATGCACGAGATGGTTATGTCGATGATAATTTCATTGAGCGGAAGTAGTTTTACAGACATCGGGAAAATTGGTATTAATCTGACCAATATATAAAATCGATATTCTCACTTGCACAGATGTCCGATATCCTGAACGGAAGATAGGATGACGTTATCAGCGAGTCCCGAATCATCGACTGTCGATATCTATATGAGTATGAGGGCGGTCATATCCTGGTCATTACAGATAGCGAGTCTGTACAGAGGAGGAGTATAGGTGGGTGGGTTCGGATGGGAAAGAGGGAGGGGCTAGCTATTGAGGTGATTCTACTTAACGTCCCATTTATCTGTATGTGTAATAAGTAAGATAAAGAGCGGAATACAGTATTTTTTCGAATTGTACAGTACTATAGTTGTGTTGATTTGTTTGGTTTTGCACACACACGTCCTTTACTGAATTATCCTTTGAAATAAATCTGATAAAATGAATACATATGATTTACATGTAATACAAGTTGTATGCAATAGACAGAAATGCATTTGATTGCAAAATTCCTTTTTAGAAATAAGTTCGTCATGTTTGTTTATCTATTGAAATATTTTCTATGTTTCCCTTAGAGTGCTGTGAACAGATACACACGTGACCAGGTCCAACAACTCCTTCACGAGAAATGCAGCCATGACGTCACCGGAAAGAGAAACATAATCATCTACCATTGTGAATCTCCTCCGAGAGGGGACCTAAGATATAAGTTTCAACACTCAGTTAACAAAATGATAATCTGCCTTGATTTATTGGAATCTTCAGAACCAGTGGTTAAGAAATGTTTACCTTATTTTGCAATACATCCTTTAAATGCGTTCTGTAGAAAGTACTGGTGATTTTATCAGGGAGGTATGATATACATTATGCGTCCCTGGTTTGAAAGTAACGTAATTTTAAACTCATAAATATTACTTAATTTACTCCAACCTACGATCCGAAAGAATACAACTGCGTTTCGTCATTTATTTATCTATTTATTAATTTATAGGATGCTATTCTTGAGGACCCAAGACCGCTCCCAGAACGAGGCTAACTACCCAGCCTTGACCTTTCCCGAGGTTTACCTCCTGGATTGGGGATTTAAGTCCTTCTATCAGACAGACAAGGTGAGAGTCCGATGTAAAATATATCCTAAATAATAATGTGAAACTTAAGAAGAATTTTATAAGGATAGCAAATCAAATCAATTAAACAACATTTTTATTTTCACACGTGATTTATAAGAAAATAGCAAGACTACATGAGACGTTTTGATATTCTTGTTTTTTTTATATCTAATTGTAATTGTCTACCGAATCTCTGTTAATACACGATCCACAACATACAATTACATTGAGAGGGAAATCGTGATGATGGATAAAACCGAATTCTCGATATAAAACTTATTTTCTAGTATGCTCCATTTGTCTTTGTAGAATTTATGCCACCCAATGCATTACAAGTCCATGCCACATCCTGGTCACTATGAGGACCTGCGTCACTTCCGGTCGAAATTCAAATCTTGGTCTACTGAAGACAAGAAAATAAATATGTTTCTACGTCACGTTAGATGTTTTTCTTACTCGTACTGCCGAAGAATATCGAATATACCAGCAGTTGGATGTCATATCCCAGATACGTTCTGTCTGCGAATTGAAAGAATTATTTAGTAAACTCCGATAAACTCCATAAAAATTGGGCGACAAAAGATAGAAACTTCCAAGTGTTAAAACATCAATATGCACTACATATATGATATTTGATTGCTATGGACAATATACCCTAAATACATGTTGTCTAAGTGTTTTTCGTGTATAAACTGAACTTGTCTCTCATGGCAATAATAGGGAGGCTTATAGATTATACAGACACTATGCTCTGACAAAGTGTCGTTGTCAGTAATCAACAACAACACCTACTTGACAGTTTAAAGTGCTGTTTTCACTGAGAGTGCTGATCACTTTTCATGTAATTATATTTTGCCTGCAATCTTTATTGTGTAATAAAAACATGCTGTTTACATGGAGCGTTCTATTGTTTCATTAGTTAAGTAATAAACGACGACAGTGGTGATATACAATTCATCTATCAGATATATATCTGATGACTTTTATACGTTAACTACTCAGTCTGAATTTTTAGATGATTGGTGATTTTCCAACTAATGCCCCGTCACTGCACTGGTGTGTTATAATGGGCATAGATTGTACAATGTACAAATTTACATCACAATGGACAATGATGTCCAAATGAAACCCACAGTGAACACTGACACTAGCTGTACTATTGGCAAGATGCTCCATATCGTCAGCTTTGTCTGTAACCTCAGCATTACTTCTGTATCACAATATACATTGTTTCTATCTGCATTTGTGTGGATGTATCATACCCCACTGAATGCTATGTACTTCTGTATCACAATGGTCCCAGCTGCTGTCTAAGGTTGTATGTACCTGTACATGTAGCTGTGCTTATGTGACAAAATGCATCTTTCTGTAAGCTGTACTTGTGTAGCGAAATGCGCCTTGCTGTAACATGTAGCTGTAGTTTTGTATCACAATGATATCTTGCGCTAGCTGTACTTAAGAGGTGACAGTTGTCATGATGGTAGATTTATGTATTCCGGTTTGGAGTTTCCTTTTACAATTAGCTCTATCCATTTCGAAATTTCAAATTAATCTAAATTCTGAATTGACTCGCCATCCCATCAATAGTAGATACAACATAATACAGAGATGACATAACTGAATCCCATTTATCAAGATCCAATCTAAGCATGAATTTAAAAAAAAAAAGGACGTTCACCATGATCTAACACAATTACGGCTTACACGAACATTTTCCCTCCTTAAAACCTCTTCCCTTTTCACGGTGTCTTCGTTTTACGCCACAATACACTCAACATTTTGATATTTTGTGATTCAGAAAAAAGCCCACTTGATAATTATGTAATCATAACACTAAAATGTACATTAGTTGCGCGATATTTATCGTAAAACATTAGTTGGGAAAAATCGAAACAAATAGGAAACAATTAAGGCAAGTATCACTGAAAACATGATTTCAGTACATTCTGGGTTAATTAATTGCTTAGAAGTTGCGACAAAGACGGAATTGTGTCATAAAATATCATGTACAAACGTGTCCGTTAAATGTTATGACACTGTTTCACTATTGTTGTAGAGGCTCCACCCTTCAACTGTCAATCTTTATACATTGTGTAATAAGATAGAATTTATTGTACTGATGGGTCAATGACCCGAAGTTTTGAATAAATCTGCCAGAAGAATAGTTTTAAAACACTCAAATATTTCAACAGTGAATACTCGTTACTCCGTGGCACCGTTAACTCCTTCGTAACCAATACATGTCTGTCATAGCACGCTGATGTTTGGACAGGACAACACATTAACAAGAAAAACACACCAGTTGATTAGCAATCATTAAATCAACAATGTCCCTGGTAACTAGTGATCTGTCACGTGATCGGGTGGCAGGCGTGACCAGTAATTAGCTCTTACTCCTAAAATAATGATCAGCTTTTCTAGCTTGGACTGTTCGGATATGTCTGTGTCTGTTAAACTTCGGGTATAAAAGAGCATGTCTGTTGATATTATTCAGTAGAGTGAAGTATCGTACAGATAGGATTGTTGGACTGAAATATTAGCACAGCTGTACACTTACAGATATGGCCGATTCCACAATGTACATATACAATGCGGACAAATCTTGGGAAGAGGAAAACGGAAATATCACATCTAAATCTCAGGTCAGGTTCAAAATAACAGAACCGATATCTCCTGGGATCAAAACATCACCATTACATTTAAAATTTGTATCGGTCATCGGAAGGAACTACGACAGTCTTAGCTTCCATAGGAAGATGTCGGATAGGAACCTCGCACTAATCAGACTAAGGGCAGACAAACTGCGACAAAGGGACATGGAAATTCGTGAACGTTTGGAGCGAGTCCGTCAGAAAGCTAAAATGATTGCTGATATTTCACCCTTCAAAGAAGATTTTATATCGAGTCGGTATGCATGTTTGTCGTCAGAATTTCACACCGGAAAGGAAAATTATGAAAAACAACAGAACCGAATTTCATTTACTTCATGTAAGGAAACCAAGAGTGATCAGCCTGAAAACAGAAGTAGACCGGATCACACAGTTATCGAAAACAGTGATAAATTGCAATCGGAGTCACGACCTGAAACACGACGTTTGGAATTTTGTGCACAATTAAATCACGGACAGCAAAGTGATTTCGACTTTATTGATGATAACTGTGACAAGCCACACAAGGAAACTGGAAGTGACGAGCCTACCGAAAAGTGCAATCAGAGACAGGCAGGAGATGACAACACGGCAAATGAGAGTACTAAACGCCCAATGCACACGTCCGTAGCAGACCTGGAAAGTGCAGAAGAGAAAAAAACACGGAAACAGATTACGGGCAAGTACGAGCACGTGGGTATGGAACAATTAAGAGTTCAGGTAGCAAAACCCAAGTCGTTTGTTGGAGAAAGATATTCATTTAATAAATCTCAAACTCACTCTAAATCGTCAGTCCAAGATTCTAGAGAAGAAAGTATCAGTACACCTAAGCGCAAGAGTAAACGAGTAAGCAATGATTTCAGACTGACCGACATGGCGTCACCCCGGAGTCTCGGTGTCAGTCCGATGAGAATGAGTATGTCGGCTAAAAAGAACCGGATGATTTCCAGTCAGGCGTCTCCTTTCGCGAGAAGTATAAGTTTATCGAAGATGAAAATAACAAAAACTATTCTAAATGTACTTAAGAATGATCAGCGTGTGAGTCCAGTGTTCTGACATTCTGTGCTGTCATTGTACAATGAACGTGGTGATCTTTTACAAGGCACCAAAATGGCAGTGTGTGTTTTCATTTCAAGGAATGCGAAAATGGAATATCGAAAATGTGCTGGTAGTTATACATGTCAATGATATATATATTTTTTGTATATATATTTTGAATATTAAATATGTTTTACACTTATAAACTTCTGTTTGTGTGATGTATGAAAATATTTAAGTAAACACATGTATTACAGATATTACAGAATTACAAATACACATATGCCGATATTTAAAATGTGACTATTGTTTTAACACATCCTTAAATATTTATATGGCCCTAATGACACATAAAAATGTGTTGACGGGCCGTTAAGAATGTCATAATAATAATAATGCTATTTCCTTTTGGTTCGCTGTGTGTCTTATCGGTTGATGACCCTTATGACCTTGACAGGCCATTAAGAATGTCATAAAAAATATTTATATTTAAAAAAAGTATCATTTACCTATTTGAACTGATACAACTTTAATAGGAAGGACTATAATCACTATCAAAACAAACTGCCTTGTAGGGGACTACATTCCGTGGTCACTAGGAGGTACACTTAGTGAAATGACATTGACTAAAATATCTAATTTGTACGTGGGGAAGCATAGCAAATATTTACCTCAGAAAATAGTTTTCCTGGATTCTGCTTTTTCGTTTTCATTTTGACACCTGCTAATGGATTATCTCCAGTGGTTTGATATACATCGATATTTTCTCTCAGCAATAACCAGCCACGGCAAAAAGTAATGAAGTATGGGACATATTCAGAATTTACACCTTTTTGTCCAGATAGCAAATAATATCATCATAATCTGATTTCAATATAAAGATGACGGAAGTGACCTTGACATCGAAAATGACACCATAACATTGTCATGTGACAAAACTCACTATGCTCCTATCATGCACAACTTCGATAAACACATACAGGTCTAACAACGTGGCTGTATAGTTAGCATGTCAGTTTTGTCAGAATACACCTGCCTTGTGTTTTTCTTTACTGTTTTAGGTTTAGACAGAAAACAGCGTTTGTTTAGCAAGTGCATTACTGAGACATAATTACGTTCTGATTAATTTGAATATTACATTTAAAACATGACCTATCTTACCAGTCAAGATTCAGAGTAACATCAATGTCGGATAGAACAACAAACTTTTGCTTGTCCAATTTTCAATAATTGTTGCAGGATGAATATGGCACACGATTAATTATAAAAATATAACCTGTACTTTGGCTGAGGATAGAAAGACAATACACTGACCATGTATTGTATGTGATATGTAAACAAAATCATCCACAAATGTATTATTGATGAGATTTTACCACGATCTCGGCTTCTTAGGAAATCGAATACATCAAATCTCTAAATTCAAAATGGCTGATGTGGCCATTTGGAATATTGAATCAATTTCAAAATGAAAAAAGAAGCAAAACCAAACAATACTACTGTGATACCTCGAAAGATCCGGAAGTCGTCGTCAAGAAACAGCGGTCACGACCATCGAATACCAAAATTCAGGCCGCAAGCAGTCATAGAAAATCGTTCTCAAAATGTGAAGAGCAGTTCTAGGGCCCATTTATAAAAAAAATATCCAAATTCTTTGTGTTTCAACAAGATCCTTTGTAGTTATTGGGAACAGCGATCCAAATTTCCAAATGTCAAAAATTCAAAGTGGCTGCTAGCTGGGGACAATCTTACATATTGGACTATTCACAAAGTCTGATATGTACATCTAGACTCCATACTGATCCCTCCAGCAGTTGCTGGTAAAAATGGTCTGGATAAGGTCACTTCAACAATTTA